CACTAAGGACTTCAAATGAAATTATGGACTTGCTCTCTAATGTTATAAAGGTCTCAAAGATATTTTCACAAGTTCACATATTTAAAAGGAAAGCAATGTCTGATTGTACACACCAGAGATGAATTCTCTGAGAGGATCACCAAGCGATGGTTTGTATTTTGTGACCTCTTTACTACTAACACATGTTCAAGAGGAAATTAGGAGTGATTTCCGACTTCTCTCCTTTGCCAATTTCCTCACTGTTTTTTCTCCTTTACACATGGGCACCTTTAAGTGGTGTAAATTGCGTTTTCCTCCACCCCATTCTCAATTCAGAGTCTCTCTTTCCTGATGAGATTTTTGTCTCTTTAGCTCATGCAAAATAATCCTTCACTCATATTTTACAACAATTCATTCATTACCAGTAGTAAATTTGGTGTATTTATGTAAATGTTAGTATTTTAATAAGTTCACATTAACTTATTAAATTCATATATTTTATGTCAAAAATTAAAGAAACAAAATGTCATCACTAGCATCTTCCTGCTTCTCACTGCTATCTGTTCAGTTTTGAAGATCAGTAAAATCTCTAGAAATCTTGACTATTAATAAATCTACTACGGATAGGCTTTGTGGCTTTTTCCTTCGTGTTTCTATTTAGTGGCTATAACACAAAGTAATTCCCTAAAGTGACACACTTTTAAAGCGTTTTTTATTGTGATAAGAACAGATAACATAAGATCTACCCTCTTAACACAAATTTAACCACTGCAGGGTTAATGATCAGCACAATGCTGGACCACAGATCTCTAGAACTTACTCATTTTCAATAACTGAAAGGTAACATATTCATATGCGTGTTTAAATAGTGACAAATCAGTTTTTTATAATTTTAGTAAGGTTACTCTATTAAATATAATCAATAATGTGGAAGAAACAATACTTTGTGATCTGAACAGAAAAAAAAACCTGAAAGCCTGAAATTTTTAAGAATTGACAGTTTCCGATATTTTCCTTTTCATTAAAAAGCAACAAATATCTTTTGATGCGGACACTCTCAACTTGAAAGGAAATCTACGACAGAGTAGGAAACATGAACAACAACTAACTCATTTATAACCAGTGACAACCAAAACCTATGAAGTTTTTAAAAGAATGTGATTGTTGTCAGAAGGCATCGAGTCCCGCAGTTGTTCAGCTCTGGTTGCTCTCAGAGCCATGGCTGAGAGGCACAGGGAGCACTCCTCCAAGGCTGGTGGGCATAGACCAGCAAGAAGTGAATTCTGCATACTGTACGGATCATCGCTCAGTTCAGGGCAGTCAGATTGCATCTGGGATCAACCAACTGTGCTTCATGAAACCGTCAGCCCTCATTTGTGTCTGGCTGTTTTCTTCTGTCCAGCTGTAAACAAGGCCAGCTCCAGTTCTCTCCATACCCTGATCTGCATGGTCAGACCAAGTCAGTAGCCTCAGAGCTCAAGTGCAAGTCCCTTCTTGCAGACAACAGTTCCTGCGCATACTGGGAAGTCACAAAGAGAAGCAACTTGGGAATGACAGAGTTAGGGTCCCTTTTTGGAAACGCATACCTTAGATTCCTACACATACTGGTGTGGCATGGCTCTTCCATGAAGTGAAATTAGGTGTTCCTAATAGGAACAACTGTTTTTTTCAGCAGACTAGCTCAGCAGATTCATCTTGCCGGGGAGGCAGGGGTGGTAGTGATTGTATTTTGTTGTTTTACTGCTCTGGGGCTTTGCTTGGATCAGCCAAAAAACACATGGATAGAAATACTGTCAATCTGGTCCCACTCCAGGAACCTAATCATGCCTGAATGGCTCGGAGGAGTGTAATGATGGCAACATTACAGGAACAGGTATGTTGGATTCCGTTCTCATCCACTTCGGCCACAGTGTCGCCTTTACAATAAAGCAAACTATGATTCTGAAGGCACATCATCTCAATCATCAAAGGGAGGGGGTGCCACCGAAGCCCTTTTCCTTGGCAAGTGGCACAAAGGTAATGTTTAGTATTCACCAGATTGAATTCTCCTAGCCAGCTGGTGTGTCCCTGTTAAGACTTTCATTTATGCAGCTTGAGCTGGAACCTTTTTTGTTCTCCCAGTCTATTACTTTGTCGATTCAAGGGATAACAGCCAAAGTGAAACAGCTTGCAATTTGCACCTGTCTGCTCTAAGCATTCCATGTTAGATTGCTTGGAGAGTAAACCCTTCACTGCTAATGAGAATGAGACTGGGTAGGGCTGAATGCAGTTTTGTTGGGGGGTTATAGGATATCGTCATGTTTTTTTTATTTTTCTTTTTTTGTAACTGAATTAATGAAGACTTCCCTATTTTCATGTTTAGAATCCCAGTAGTAAGAGACAAATACAATTCCCCCACAAAAAAACACACACACACAAAGCTGCATACTCTTTAAAGAAAATTTTAAGTGTCATGTAACTACAAATTAAATTAATATTCAGCCTGAGTTGCCTCAGATAAGAAAGCAAACATTTAAATGCTAAATTATTTCCATGTGGGTGTAAACATAAAATACCTACAGAGACCTTTACTTTGCAGCATTGGCAAGGGAAGAAAGTAAATTTAAAAAATTTTTAGACGTATTCCAGAAATAGGACTAGCTTTGGTAATAATGCCAAGGGCCCAAAAATAAACTTGAGATTTCTGCTTATATTGCCTTTGAAAATTTAAGCTACTGAATCCAAAATAAAAATTCAAGGATGTCACTGTAAAATCTTACCTACATAGATATAAACATCTCTATCCAACTGATCGTCATGTGAATCACAGAATGAATTCTCCACAATTGCACAAATGTCAGCACCTATGATTCTCCCAAACCCTTTCCCAATTCTCTGCATCTTCCCTAGCTTTGATTCTTTCAAGGAATTCTATCTGTGGATTAGCATCTATTTTGAAAGAATTAAACTTGTTGAGATGAAAGAGTTTTAATCATGGCTTCTAACGTTTTCCCCAAACCTGAGGATATTAAAAAATTCAAAATAATGTTTGAATTATCAGGTAAAATATTCCCAAAGATGATCTAAAATTTAGTAAGCTAGAAATTAAAAAAAAAAATTAAAGCCTAATAATCTATTTATCAAAGGATCTGCGCTACCTTTGGATTCCAAATATTCTCCACATTGGCACTTCCTGTTGAAATAATAAAGTATATGATGACGGGTGAAGTGAAATAGAAGTGGTCGCAAATGTGTCCCACTAGTAATTAATATATTTGAATCTTGTTGTTGGCCCACATCTGGCCTGACAGATAACGTTCCAGCTTGTTCAGCGACGACCTTTTCAGCACAGTGTTAGGACTCCTGCCAGCCTTTGCAGAGTCTGGTCAGGTCAAAGGGTTGAGCCATGTGTAATTCAGAACAGAGGAGGTCCCACGGTCACTCCACAAAAACAATTACACTACTTATTTCACTCTAGCCCTTGCCCAAAATTCACAAGCCTCACAGTTCCAGTGTAGCCAATCTGATTCTGCCCCTAGGCGATGAGCCACATGAAAATATGTGGTGCCGTGTTTATAAATCTAATCAAAAATAGAAACAGCAGACAGGCACCATGAGGTCCTACTATGGATCATGGGAATCCTTGGGAATTCTGAGGCACTTTTGTTTCTCTTCCATAGATTCTCTTTTGCTACGACGTTGCCTGCTACACTCGTTAATCATCCTCTTTACTCGTGAGTGCCACAAAGGAGGCTACATTTCTACTCACTTCTATCCTTTCCATCCATGGATAACGAAAAATCAAGCTTAAAAGCCTTGCTTTTAAAGGAGAAAAAAATTAAAGAGGGGCCTACTGTGACATCAATCTTACCTCTCTCTCCATGTTCTCAGCTTCTTGCCCTTGGCAATGCACAGATTTAAATCAAGTTTCCCTAAAAAAGAAAAATAATATTTAAAAACCAAGGTAAATTGACCCAACAACCATGAGCTATGTTAAGCAATGTGGGATTGGAGAGCTACGATGCTACTTAATGGTTCCAAAAAATGTAAGTATAAAGTCAACAGGATATAAGCTAGCATCTTACTTTTATTGTTGCTCATTTCTCTCTTTGTTTTTTGTTTTGTTTTGTTTTGTTTTGAGACATTCTGTCACCTAGGCTGAAGTACAGTGACACCATCCAGGCTCATGGCAACCTCCACCTCCCAAGTTCAAACAATTCTCCTGCCTCAACCTCCGGAGTAGCTGGGATTGCAGGTGCATGCCACTACACCCAGGTAATTTTTTGTACTTTTTTAATAGAGATGGGGTTTCACCATGTTGTCTCATTTCTTAAGCCAGACTCATAATAAACAGGGTCAGTCAATATTCTCAAAATGTTTTACAAGGGCAATCTCTGGGAAAATTTCAGATTTTATTTAGATGGCTTAAATTTCCTATTTTATGCCCCAAAAGTGACAAATTCTGATTGCACTGAAGTTACAATGGCAACTTGCTGCTGCATGCCTTAGGTAGCTGAACTGTTTATCATTTAAAAATTATGATCCAGTTTTGCAACCATCATAAATAGATAATATCTGATAAAGTCAATGGCAAATATGTGTACTGAGGGGCCAGGCGGATTAAACCCTGAGAACATCATCCAGCAAATATATAAAATGTAAAAATTATAATGAAAGGAAATGTGGTTTTAACCCTCAAAACTTCTTAAAGTCACACAATAAATTATTAAGGTGAATCTGCAAACTATTCCATTTGATATTATTTTAATTGACAGAAATACTACACCAGAATACAATCTGTCCCCAGATAATTAGAATACATGGACTTTTTAAATGAACGATCATCCCAGCATTTATTAAATTATTGTAAACATTCACCAAAAGAGTCTTTTAGACTGTGCATGGTGACTCACACTTGTATTCCTAGCACTTTGGGAGGTCAAGGCTGGTGGATTGCTTGAGCTCAGGAGTTTGAGACCAGCCTGGGAAACATAGTGAGACACTTATCTCTACAAAAAATACAAAAATTAGCCAGGCATGGTGGCACATGCCTGAAGTCCCAGCTACTTGGGAGGCTGAGGTGGGGGGCTGGCTTGAGCCTGTGAGGCAGAGGTTGCAATAAGCTGACATTGTGCCACTGTACTCCAGCCTGGGTGACGGAGCCAGACTCTGTCTGTTAAAAATAAATAAATAAATAAGAGTCTTTTAAACTTTAAACTTGAAGTTTGCCCTTTTGAAATGGTTATCAGAACTTGGCAGTAAAACAAAGCCCATCATGTATGAATGATACACGTGAAAGTTTTTCATTCAGAGCTATCTATTATTGTTTTAAAAAACTACTTCACAAAGTATAGATAAGCTTTTGAATAGTATCAATGTTGAAAAATGAAAGATTTTAGTCCTTCTGGCGCTAATTTAAAAATGTAAAAATTTTATGTAAAAGCAACTCTTTTATGTAAAAGCAACCTAAAAGTTTTAAAGATTATATTGAATTACTTCCTAAAGTAAGTGAAAGACATGTAAAATTATTTAAAGGAAAAAAACAGTATCAAGATTTAAAAATTAAACAATTGGCAGAAATTGAAGTTTGACTTGCTTGTTTTCCACAGCACACTGGCTGAAGAGAAATTCAAAAGCATATATTTCCAGGAACAAATGTGGAGCAGAATTTTTTCCCTTGAATTTGGCCTATTTGTGTTTGAAAATGTTTGTAATTTGTAACATTGTTGAGGTTATTGTCATCACAGATTTATTTTGCAGACATATAACCCAAAGTGTATAAGCCAGAAAGCCCAGGTTACCTCTATTAACATAAACAGAATGCTCAGAAAACTTTAAATAAGGCAGACCACTTGTCTTCCTTCATAGAAGACTGCATTTTAAATGCTTTTCTGCACAAATATTCCGAATGCAATCTCAGTAGTATAAGACCCAATATCACTGTAAAATAAGATCAAAATTCCTCATTATCTCAGATAAAATGTAGAGTTGAATCCAGAAAGCAGCTTGATGGAAGTCAGTGTTGTATCATTTTACAAAGCTGCTGTCACCAGGGGAGGCATGCAGCTGTCTACTGCCCTGTCTCAGGAACAACAGAAGTGGCCTAGGGTGCCTCCCCACTTGGGAATCTCTGACAGCTTCCATTAGGCATTATTTCAATAAAGCATGTTAGTCACTGAGTTTGTATGACCTGGAATTTGGGGTTTGCTGTCAGACCCTCACAACTGAGGGACAACCAGCAGAACATGGGTGATGCAAAGCAAATGACCCATCCTGAGCCAAGGAAACTCACTGAACATGTGACCTGGCTTTAGAGCATGAATAGATTTAGGCAAGGTGTTGGCTGTGATGGATGTATTGATACATGAAAATGTGTCCCCAGCACAACTCCTCAGGGCTTAGTTCAGAGACCGCAAAATTGGGAAACAATTGTTAAAAGGTGGAAAACAGCCCTTCAGCTGCCAAGGAGCTCTGGCAAGTGGTGTGGATGGAGAAACGAGATATGAGGCTGGGTTCCAGAGACCAGAAGAGCTGGATCAGTGTGAAGGAGGCAGGGACCCAGTATATATGTTCACAGGCAGCAGAGTGAACTTTGAGGAATAGACAAACAGTCAAATGGGAAAGGGAAATGGAAGAAACACATGAGCAAAGAGTAGTGAAGAAAATGAGAACAAGAAGTTCATAGGACAATGAGTAGAATCTGTCAGGATGTAATAATTTTAACAAGTTAGTGATTCATGATCAGCTACCATGTTTCCTTTAAAAAACAAAAAACTACGTGGATACAGGGAGGGGAGCATCACCCACTGGGGTCTGTCGGCGGGGGGAAACAGGAGAGGGACAGCAGAGGGTGGGGAGTTGGGGACAGATAGCATGGGGAGAAATGCCAGTTATAGGTGATGGGGAGGAAGGCAGCAAATCACACTGCCATGTGTGTACCTATGCAACAATCTTGCATGTTCTTCATGTGTACCCCAAAACCTAAAATGCAATTAAAAAATAAATAAATAAATAACAAAAAGCTATTGCTTGAGTAACTGGCAAAATATGAAGCCAATCAGAAAACTGATTGATTTGCTAAACTGTCTATAAGACCTTCACTGCTGCCAGTCACGTTGGCTCATGCCTGTAATCCCAGCACTCTGGGAGGCGGAGGAAGGTGGATCACCTGAGGTCACGAGTTCGAGACCAGTCTGGCCAGCATAGTGAAACCTTGTCTCTACTAAAATTACAAAAATTTGCCACACATGGTGGTGTACCTCTGTAATCCCAGGACTCGGGAGACGGAGGCAGGAGAATAGCTTGAACCTGGGAGATGGAGGTAGCAGTGAGCTGAGACTGAGCCCCACTGAGCCAACAGATATTTCCACCCACTGGGCAACAGAGCAAAAACAAGACCCTGTCTCAAAAAAAAAAAAAAAAAAAGTCTTCATTGTCAAAAAAAGTCCAAAGTAGCTAGCTTAAAAAAAGAACTATAAATTTACCAATAATAATAATAACCTTAAGCTTTATCGGAAACCCTAGACTTAATAAATAAACAAATGGGCACCAGTGCAAAACTCACACTGTGACTGCAGGTTTGGATCACAGTGTAGCAAGTTTATAGAAATGCAAGAGGCCTACAATAGGGATCATTTTCTAAAAGCCCATCTCCAACTTGCAAGCAGGTTAATAACTACAATATCCCCTGCTTATAAGTAACCTGTTGGCCACATTCTCTTGAGTCCAGGTTAATAAGACTGCTGATTTGTATAGTCATTTTGTTGTTTGTTTTTATTTGAAGGCTGATTTTGAAATGGCTTTCACTGAAATCGTTGACCTTATATTGCAAATTAAGCCTTGGAATTGCCAAATCTAACGACTGGATCATTGCTTCCAGAGATGGGAATTAACACGGCTACAGCTGTTGTTTCATTGCATTTCTCTTCTCAAGCAGACCAGCAAGGGCAAAGATGGTGTTTCACAGAAGTCACAAGCCAGATTCTGTCTGCAGACATATTTTGTTTAACCTCCATAGTGATTTTTAAAATGTTGAGCCAATATTTAAAAATAAGAAAGTTGCAACTTAAAATAGAAATCCAATTTCTGATTTGTCTTGGAAAATTAAAAACTGTGGCATCATAGGGTCAGCATTCATGGTTGGCAGCAACTGGCCAAAGGTGAGAGGTGGCAGCATGTTTTTCAGGCAATATTCTCCAGGTCCACAGTTCCCATCCTGCCTACTGCAGACCACAAAGCAAAATGTACTCTCCCTTGAGGAGAGTAGTCATTGCTACATCCTTGGAAGGAAGAGGAGAGCCTGGGAAGCATTGGGTGCTTGATAAATATTCATTATGTCATGTTGAATGAAGTGACCTCAAGGGAGATAGGTAATATTCATGGGTGGCTCTAAGACAACAGGGAGTGTCCAGGAGCCCTCACAATGTATGCCCCAATTTAAAAAACTGCTAATCCTTAGCTTGCACTGATGCTTTTCTTATGAAGAAAGAGTTTCTCCTGTCACTAACAAAGGCAGGGCCACAAGTGTCAAGGAAAACTAGAGCCCACATAGACCCAGCACACTCTACTCATTTCCGTTTCTTGCCTGGCCTCTACAGGCATCTGAATTTGAAACTTCTGAGAGAGAGACATGAGAGGAGGCCTAATACCCACAATGACAAACTGCTCCACCTCCACCATCATTCTCCCCCTCAACCTGCCCAGTAGTTTTCTGCACTACGGTCTAAATCTACGCTGAGGAATAAGTAAAAAGAGGAGTAGGAACAACAGTGTGGAATGGACTAATGTGTGTGGTTAAGAAAGAGTTGGTTCAAATCTCCTGCACACAGGAGTTGCTTAACCTCTGAAAGTCTCCAGTGGCTCTAAGGATAGTTGAGAAATGTTTAAGATTGTGTGT